AAAGAAAGCCCCTAACTGTTATTTACACTTCGGAGTCTTAAAAACCATTAACAAAAGCCACTTAATTCAATTATCTTTCGGTTGGCTCGGTTCTCAGCGCTGAGCCCCAGCCTCCCCTTGTTGCCCCCTCCCCCTGCCCACCCCACCCCCGTCATTGTGTCGGGCTAATGAGGTAAACTGAAGCGAGCCCTGTCCCCCCTGACAGGTTTATGAGAATTTAATAAAGCGTGGCCGGGACCAAATGAGTTGCCTCAGCCTCGGAGAGCTCATTGTCTTCAGCGTCAGCGTTTTTTGACTCGAGCCGCCCCCTCCCCATCCCCCGCCTGGCTCCTGCCTAGCTCAGCCCTCACCCTGCCCTGGGTGCCTCCCAAGGTGAGCCTGAGACCGGTGGGCCTGGTGGAGGCCAGCCCAGTCCTGCAGGGCAAGGCACCCAGGCTGCCCCCTGGGGAGGGCAGAAACGGAATTGTCAGTGAGCCAGGGAAGGGCTGTGTGGTACCTTGTGGACCTTCCCTCCTCACACACGCTGGACCCCGGGAATGCACAGAGACCTCTGGGACTTCTGCTTCCCGACCCATGCCACCTCCAGGCTCCTGTCTCACTAGCTGCTGCCAGACTGAGGCCTGGCTGGTGCCACCTCGAGCATGAGTCACTTGTTTCTTGCCCGTTTGGAGTGACCAGCCAGAGTAAGCTCCCAGGGCAAGGAGCTTTCACCTCCTCTCAGGACACAGGGTGGGGACACGGGGGCACTGTGATGGCCTGGTTCCATCCTCTTCACGGAAGTTTACCTGCTCCTCACATTATCCCTAAAAGGTAACAAGGGGTGGAGCACAGCCCGGTGAGCAGAAGGGACTTGGCCCAAGTTCTGCAGGAGTCAGAAGTGCAGATGGAAGAGGTTCCCAGCCTGGAGGCCCCGGCCACACAGGCAGGCAGGAGGCCCCACTCCAGAGCCCCGGGGTGCCTGGAGAAAGCCCAGCTGCCCTTCCCTTATGTCCTGAACAGCCTAGAACCGGCCCTTCTCTGCTTGGCCAACATCTAGGACTTTCTGGAGCATTCAAAGACCCAGAATTCCTTCTCTCTCCCTCAAAAGTAGCTCCAGGAGTTACTTCCTTTTGGGGCTGAAGGCTGGACTGACATGGGAGCCTCATCTGAAAGAAAGATCCTTACGTCAATGGGGGTTGGGGGAGCAAGGGTTAGATATCAAGGCTCGGTCTGTGACCTTGATGAAAGTTCAGTCTTTGTTCAGGCTCAGGGATCAATGAATGGATCAGGGTTAGAGTCCAGGTTAGGACCAGATTCAGGGCTCTTTGACCAGGGTCAGGCTCTGTCTGTTACCAGAATCAGGACTCAGTGTTTAGATCACAGTCAGAGTTCAGTTTGTGACCATGATACGTGCTTAATGTGTCCAGGATAAAGGCTCAGTCTGTGTCTAGGTCAGTGTTCAATCTTGGATAAAGGTCAGGGTTCAGTTTATGGATTGAGTTAGAAGTCAGGGTTTAGTGTATGGATCAGGCAGGGTCAGGGCTCCGAGTGTAACCAGGATCAAGCCAGGCCCGAACTCAGTATGGACTTGGGAGACAGTTCAGTCTACGACGCCTCTCGACTTACCTCTGACCTTGATAAAGGCTGGCTATGTTTTGGGTCAGGGCTCCCTCCGCGATAAGATCAGGTTCCAGGGTCGGGGGTGTCATTTAGTAAATTTGGGTGACTTAACCCCTCCTCTTCCTTCCATGAGTATACCAACTCCCCACTCCTCGGGTTCCACAGAGCCTTGACTCAGAAAAGGAAAAGGCCAGGTTGTGCAGGCTGCCCGAGCCGAGTTGTCCCTATCCCATCATGTACCCAGGCTGCCCTCTAGTGGCACTCTATAGCAGTGCCGATTTCCTCAGGCTTGGCCCGTCTCTCTGGCCATTGCCTAATTTTGGGAGCCTGGCCCTCGGCATGCTCACCAGTGCCCATCTGGCCAGTTCTACATTCCTGCGATCTCCAACCTCCTCATACAAAAGTAGAAAGCAGGAATTGGCCAGGGGAACTCCCACACACAAAGGGAGCTTTTCTCTTTTCCTGTCCAGAATTGGGCACCTTGATAATTTTCTATTATGGGGGACCTAGAGTCTCAGCTGTGGGATAAGACTCATATCTTTTACTTGTCCAGCAAATATTTGTTGAGCACCTACCTTGTGCCAGGTAGGCACTGAGTGCACAGCAGTGAACAAGACAAGTCCCAACCTCTTGGAGTTCACATTCCAACTCACTTCTTCCTAATCCCGAACTCCTAGTCCACAGACCTCATCGGCAAGGCATGGGCACCAGCAGAAGGGTGGGTGAGATTCAGAACTGGGCAACTTAGGGTACCTTCTCTTCCCTAGACTCAGAGGTTGGACTAGTCTAGATTCTGAATTCGGTCTTCATTTCTCTCCAAGCGCCTGATCCAGACTCATGGCGTAGCCACCACCCCAATGCCAATGACTTCTACATCTGCTGCTCTTTCCGGAATTCGGGGCGTAAGGGAAGCTCCACTGGCTAACAGACCTTTACCTTACCACATCCTTTGCCCTTCCTCCACCGTATGCCCTGCTGCAGAAAGTTCAAAATCCTAGGACATTCTCCCAGATTCTTCTCTTTCACTCCCCTTAAACTCAGGAGTTTTGAGGTCTCCTACAGGGACTTCTTCACAGCCGCCACTCCAGCCCCCGCCCCAGCATATCCTACTGCAATAACCTAAACCACTCCGCTTTCCTCTTGCCCCTCAACACTATTTCCCACACGGCAGGCGGGGCAGTCTTTTACAATAATAAACCAGATCATGTCACTTCTCTGCTTAAAATGCTCCCATCTTGCCAAGAATAAAGCCCCAGCTCCTCACCCTGGTTTACGCAGCTTTATGTGAGCTGAGCAAGGTGTTCCTTCCCTACCCTGGCCAACTTCACCTCCCGCCGCTGTCCCCACAGCCCTTTTTTCTCATCCTGGAACGTGGAGGCCAAGTTCATTCTCACCTTAGGGCTTTGGCATTGGCTGTACTGCCCAAAAGGGGCATGAAGGAGTGTGAGGGGGGAGTCCCCTGGTGGGGCAGGCCTGCGGAGATTGGAGGACGGGGGTGAGGGGATGCTAGGGTGGCTGATTGGAAACTGGGCCCTGGGCGGCACAGAGTATCTCCTGGTGTGCCTATGGAGAGGGAGGGGCCACAGATGGGACAAATGGAAGGGAGACTCCAGGGAGCTAATGTCTCCCTCTTCCCCCACCCTACTTCCATTCTGTTCACTCACACCATGTCTCTGTGGCCCACTGCCTTGAGCTCTGATCACCTGTTACTCTTCCTCCTCAGCAGCCAGGCTCCTAGACAGGATCTGGAAGTCTTCTTGTGGGGGGAGCAGAGGAAGATGGTGTGCAATTCCAGGCCTCTGCCAGCAGGTGGGAGAGGGGTCTAGGCTGAACCTAGCATCCCAGGGCTAGAATCTGGGGTGTCTCCTCCTAAAAAGGTGGTAGGAGAAGGGAGAGCCAGACTATACCTCAAGGCAGCATCAGCAGTGGCCCCTCTCACCTCCTACTCTACTAGGGCAGCAGGTGGCGTCTGAGGCTGCAGACCAGTGAACCAGAAGAGACAGGGCTGGAGCCTGGGGTGGGGGTCTTCCTTACACACACACACACACACACACACACACACACACAGTGGGGGTGGGAAAGTGCTTTGAGATGTCATTAGCTTTAGGGGCTGGATACTTCAAAGGTTAGGGCCCATTGACCCATGTGAATTCATAGAGGTGACCTGCTTAGCACCTACTGAGATAGATTTACTCTTCTCCAGGTCAGTGGGAGGGGGAGACAGCAGGAGAGGCAGAGGCAGAGAGAGGGTCAGAGGAAGTAAGACAGAGTACAGGGCTGGTGGGAAGAGCTTGGACCCAAGCAGAAGAGCAGCAAAACCCACTATGGAAAGAGAAAGGGAGGCTGATGAAGCCAAGGGTGGACGGGCAGAGTCATGGTCAGCACGAGGTGGTGGTCCATTGTGGGCCTGGGTCCTTGCAATGGGGAGGAGCTGATCCAGGGTTGCAGTGTCTTCCCCCCAGACCCCAGTTCACTTGTTTCTTCTTGCAAGGCAGCCTCCACCCCTCTACCAGCTGCTCTCACCCACCGAGACAGAACACATACTAAACCCAGACTCTGCAAGTCCAGCCAGGTCAGGAGAAAGGTCTAGGATTTGCATAACCCTGGGGAGCCCTCCTTTTCTCACTGTCCGTGCTGGGTGACCCGGGCTCAACCACCACCATACGCATGTGTGGTGTTAGTGTCACCCACACTCCCTATCTCACACACACAGCCAGCAGTCTCATCCACGGGAACACTCACATGTTCATCCAGACCCCATCCTGACACACCTGTTCCCATGAGTTCACAGGCACCCCTAGTCTCAGTCTTTCATTCCCAGTCACACACTCCCCTCCCCTAGGGTCCCCTTCTAGGTCTCCAAGAGGTGATGGGAGAACCCCAGAATCCAGGGCCCTGCAGTCAGGACCTCCTTTTAGGGCTGCACAACCACAGAGGACTTGACTCCAAAGGTGTTTTATTGAGGAGCCAGGCAGAGAGAGAATGCACGATGAGGAGCCCTGCACCGCTTCACCTCTGCTGGGGCCCCAGCCTCAGCTCCCCCTGCTCTACTCTGGCAGAAAGGGTAGCTGGAATCAGAACTGATCCCTTCCCCCCAACTTATCCCAAAAGGTCATGAGGTGGAGACAAGGAGGGGTGAGGAGCAGAAGGGGCAACTGGTGACGTTTCACAGTGTGCAGGGACAGGAGCCGGCTAGGGCTGATACTCCCCCTCTCCTCCCACCCCTTAGGTGTGTAGGACTCGCTGGTAGTTAGTCCCTCTCAGAGTAGCTTTGTTCACATTGCCCAAATGCCATGCGTAATGGTGGTGTTAGGGACTCAAGGTCTAAGGCCGCCGCCTTTTTCTTACATGGCACTGAATGCAGGGACCTCCGCCAGGGGAGTTCGGGAGGGCCCAGGCCGCTAGGGGGCGGCGCGCTCCCGGGGCAGATTGAGCCGGACCCCGTTCGTGCGCGTCGCGTAGGTGGCTGCAGGTGCCGGGGCGTCCAGGGCGAAGGGGCCTGGGCCCGGGCCTGGGCTGGAGCGGCCAGAGGACGCGGCCGAGGCGGCGGGGCTGAGCTGCACGGCCGTGGTGTCCTGCGCCGTGCGCTCGCTGCTCTCCATCTCCAGCGCCACCGGTCCAGTGTCGCCACCGCCCTGGCCCAGGCCCTTGGTTGCCGCCGAGCGCGGGCGGGACGCGGGGCCCCGGCGGCTACACGCGCAGCAGGCAGCGAAGAAGCCAAACGCCACCACCAGCAGCGTCGGCCCCACGATCAACGGTGCGTTGTACCTGGGCAGGAAGGAGGCGAAGGCGCCCACCAGCGTCACGTTCACGCCGGCCAGCAGCGCGCACAGACCGCAGGCGCAGCACAGCGCCGGCGACGGCAGGCCCGGCAGCCAGCCCCGGGCACGGCCCGCGGCCGCCCCTGCAGCCGGTCCCTGGCTCTTCCTTTTGGGAGGCATCGGTCTGGGGATGCCGAACACTCATCAGGATCCTTCGTGCCGCCGGCCCGGACCAGCCCGCATGTCAGCGGCCGAGCTCCCAGTCGTCCTGTGGGCACAGAGCGAGAGGGAAGGGTCAGCAGGGCAGCTCAGCTTCCAACCCTGCTGTCAGTTCTGGCGCTGCATTTAGAGCCTGGGAGTGCAGAGACCGTCTTGACCAGCCCCCTGCTTCTGCCTCTCGGAAGCAACATGGGAAGTGTCCGCCCATTGTTTCCCCATCCAGTACCTGGAGTCCCCCTGGCTAATCTTGCCATCCTCCTACCCTCCCTCCTCCGGACAGACACAGCCCCTCCACCCCTCTCCTCCAGGAAGCCTTCTTGGGCTAATTAAATTGAGTAGTTTTAAAGTGATGAAGTGATCATCATTATCAGTAGTCCTAATTAGAGGGCAAGTGGCCACTCTTGGGATTTGGACAACTCTCCCCAACCCCCAGTGATAGAGGGCCTTATAAATCATCTGGTATGGCCCCTTCTCGGCCAGATGAAGAGGTCTATCAATTTACCCAAGATCCAGGACTAGGACCTAATGACCTGCTTCCTGGCCTGCATGTCCCCACTTTAGGCTCTGGTAGGCATAGCAGTAACATTAACTTTCCTGAACATCTGATGATGATGAGGCCCTGGAATGAGTGACTGTGTGGGAGTGAGGAGCTTCTAATTTTAGATGGCCAGCGAGAAGGGACAGTTCCTACATAGGTTGGGTGTGGCTGAAGCAGACCCAAGGGGTTCTTTCTAGACTGGGAATTTTATTACATTCCAATCTTACCTCCATCCTGCCCCCCTTCCCTGGATTCTACTGTTGAACATGGAATCACACGCCTCATCACTGGATTCTAGAATTCTGGGAATGCATGCAGAAGCAAGGGTAAGGTATGCAGAGTCTAGGGATTTAAGAATTCTAGTGAGAATTCTGTCCTATAACATGAAATCACAGGTATGAAGGCCCTCAAAGGATGAGATCATAACTATGGAGCTGTGTTAGAACTGTGGAAAAAAATGTCAAAAGAGGGCCCTGAGTGGGGATGAGAGGCGCATAATCAGCTGGTACCACACAGCTGGGAGCAGAGCACGCAGGATAAGTAATGGAGCATGACCTGGACAAGTGGCCTGTCCATGCTTCATTGCTAACACCTGTCATGTGGGCCTAATAAGAGAACCTACCTCATAGGGTGCAGTAATAATTAAATGCTTTAAGCTACATTAGATGCTTAGAACAGATCCTGGAACATAGAGAGAATTCAATAAACATTAGCCATGTTATTGTGATAGCTGATAGACAAGGGCGCTATAAAGTCTCAGATCTGGGAGGTTGGTCTTGTTGAGTTTGCAAACAGAACAGCTGGTCTGTCCCTCAGGTGGAAGTGCCCTAGGAACAGGCCCTGAGTTGTCCTTGTGGGTGTCCAAAGCCTGCACACAGTGGGGTTGGAGAGAATTTAATGACTTGTGAATGAAAATGAGGTGCCAGAGAGGGGCAGCTCAGGCCCTTGATCTGGACACAGGTTTAAACCAGCCTGGCCCAAACAGGTCAGAGAGCCTGGGGGAGCCACCTCTATGTCTACCCAGATCTGATGACTCCACGCCTCCCTTTCCTGGCTCCTTAGTGAGAGGTGGCAATTCTACTGGGACTCCAGCCAGAAGCGCCTGGCTGGCACTCTAAGCTGGCAGGAATTTAGAAATCCCCAAATCCTGGCAAAGAAAACACGTGTTAGCCCTTGAGGACATTTACAGATCACAGACTCCTCAGCAAGCCCCACTTTGCATGAACCACCTGCTCTCTTTAACCTGCAGCTGTTGGTTCTGCCAGGCAGAAATAGTAACCACTAAAGGGGTACAGCAATTTCCAGTTTGCAAAGCACTTCACATTCATGACATCACTGAATGGTACAACTGCTTGATACTTATTAACAGCTACATTTCACAACCAGAGGAAATTGAGGCTCAGAGAGGGAAGTGGAGCTGGGCTTCCGTGACTGAACTAGAAGACAAGCTATTTGGAGACCAGAGTCAGAGAACACGTCATCTGGTACACACCGTATGCAATCTTGCTTCATCTTAATTTTTTTTTCTTTATTGATTTTAGAGAGAGAGGGAGAGAGAGAAACATCAGTGAGAGAGAACATCGATTGGCTGCTCCTGCATGCCCCTCACTAGGGATCGGGCCTATAACCTGGGCATGTGCAAACTGGTGACCTCTTGGTGCATGGGTAGATGCTCAACCACTGACCCACACCGGCCGGGCAGCTTCATCTTAAAGAAAAGGGTTTGATCCCCTGGGAGCTGATGTGGAGGTAAATCCCAACACCTTCCTGTTGCCCTCAGGAGGGGCTGTGAGATTCCCAAATCCCGCTCCCACCTTTTCAAGCTTCTCTACACATCATGAATACCCAACATTATCTGATAAAGACAGGTCTTCTCTCCTGTGGGGAAGGCTCAGTCTGAGGCTGATGGAGGGAGACCCTGATGGAGGGGATGAAGTCCAGCTCTTCACTTCACCACACAACACTCCTGAAAGCTGACACTGTACAAGGGACAGGGAGGCCCTAGGTGGCTGGAAGGTCCAAGTTTCTTTTCCTTCATAGGGAAAACTCTTTGTCTCTGAGATCAGCAGTTTTATTATGATGTGCAGAGGTGAGATTTTTCTTTGTATTTATCCTTCTTGGGCTTCCTGATGCTTCTACAGTCTGTGGCTTGATTCCCCCACCACCCTAGTTTTGGAATGTTTTCAGCCATTATCCTTTCCCCATTCTCTCCCTCCTCTCCTCCTGGGACCCTACTTGTACGCGTTTCCAACCATTTGATATTATCCTACATATCTCTTACACTCTATTCTGTATTTTCTAGCCTTTTTATCCTGTTTTTGTCTGGTTGTTTTTCTTCTGATTTATCATATTGTTCACTAATCCTCTCTTCACCTGTGTCTTCTCTGCTGTAAAATGCATCTATTCAGTTCTTAATTTCAGTTGTTAACTTTTCAGTTCTACAATTGTCACTTGATTATTTTTCAGATTCCAGTTTTTTTTGTTGACTCTCTCTTCTTATTTTCTTGAATGTATTAAACGCTTTAAAGTCCATGTCTGAAAACTGCAACATCTGGATCTCTTGTTCTATTGTTTATTTTATTGTTCTTGGTTTTTGTTCATTTAGTCTTATCTCTTGGAATGCTAACTAATTTTTTAAAAATATGTTTTATTGATTTTTTAGAGAGAGAGGAAGGGGGAGAAAGATAGAAACACTGATGTAAGAACGAAACATCGATTGGCTGCCTCCTGCATGCCCCGTTCTGGGGATTGAGTCCACAACCCAGTCATGTGCCCTGACCGGGACTTCTCAGTCCATGGGATGATGCTCTCAGTCCACTGAGCCACACTGGTCAGGCTGCCAGATAATTTTTTATTAAATTTCCAACATTGTAGAGATAGCCCAAGGCTCTGAATGATTTCAAGAGATTTACTTTTGCTACTGACAGGCAGCTAAAGAAGGGATAGGCCACCTTAACCCAATCTGGGGTTGCACAGCCTGGGAGCTGTGCTTCAGTCTGAGTCTGGTTTATATATGGTTAAAGGCGAGTACTCTCAGAGGATAGCCCTTTGGGCTCCCCAACTCAAAACTGTTTTTTGTTTTGTTTTGTTTTGTTTTAACAGGGCCTCTTTCTTTTTAAGCCCTAAATTCCGACTTTGACTTCCCAACTCCATAGCCACTGCCCCCTACAAACTGCAAAATGCCTTAAGGGAAAAAGTGAAACCAAATATGACCTCTCTTCTCTCTTGTCTCCCTCAAGTCCTTACTGCCTTGGCAGCTCTTCCATGTCCTTAAACAGAGTTCTTAAATATTTAAGCCAGCATTTTTAGTTATCTTCAGTGAGTGAGTTGATCTGATACAAGCCAATCTATCTTAGCCAGAAGCAAATCTAGGTGAGAATCTGACGTTAGCACTTTCGGATTGCTAAATTAATTGTGCTATGTAGAGCATTTTCTTTTTCTTAATTTTTTTCTTTATTGATTTTAGAGAGAGAGGAAGTGAGAGGGAGAGAGAGATAGAAACATTGATGAGACAGAACATCGATTGGCCACCTCCAGCATGCCCCCCACTGGGGATCAGGCCCACACCTGGGCATATATCCTGACCAGGAATCGAACCAGCAGCCTCTTGGTGCATGGGTCAATGTTCAACCACGGAGCCACACCGGCCGGACATATGTTGAGCACTTTCAATAACATGAGATTAAGTATTACTGTTACAGCCCCATTTTACAGATGAAGGTATTGAGGCACAGAAAGATGAAACTCACCCACCACCACTGGTGGTGGTGCCAGGATTGGAAACCTGGTCCACAGCCTGAGCTCCCCACTTAGCACAGTGCTGGGTCTGCTGAATGCTTGTTGAGGCTGAAGTACAGATCATAGACTCTCCTCAGGGCCCTGTAGATAAACTTCTGTAATTAGCACTTACATTGCTCAACCGACAATAGCAAAGGAGCAGCCAGGGTGTGTTTTGTGTGTTTCTCCTGAAGGTAAACTCACTTTGCTCCTCCTTGGCTTCCTACCCTAAGTTCAACAACAACAAAAAATACCTGCCCAGGGGCTGAGCTTCCAAGTGCTAAATGCCAATGAATCATTCTCATCTGCTCCTGGCCAGCTGACTCTGGAAGGCAAAACTACTTCCAGAGTTTCCGCCTAAGGCAGAGAAAGGGCTAAGGGCTCTTTCTGCCTCCACCCTGGTTAATTGGGATCTGGGGCACACAGGGGTGAGGTCGCTCAGCTGGGGCTGTTGCAGTATTGCATACTCTTTCATTGTGGGAGCTCTGGTTTATCTGTTGTGTCACTGGGGCTGTTCACTAAATCTTTCTGGTTCTCCCCACTCCTGAACACATGTTAAGATTGCACTTCCTGGCCAATGTGTGATTAGGTGGGGCCATGTGACTAGTTCTGGTTAATGAATTGTGAATTGTGTCACTTCCAGGCT